CCCTCTTCTCCCGCCACTCAGCCTGTTAACGCACAAACCAGTCCGTTAGAGGGCCGCATCCATTTCCCCAGTCCCTAGCGGGGCACATCTTCACCACACATCTCCACCCGCACATCTCGGTCGTGCAGTTTCGGAAATGTGAGTCCTTTGGAGAAGACGCTACGTGAAATAAATGACGAGGATTCGTGCGCAGTGTCCAACTCTTTGTTGCGCCACATCGCAATGACGACAAACGACGGGGCAGCGTATCATACAGTCGCCCAGGTCGTGTGGCAGGGCATCACTTCTGAAAGCTGGTGCTGGCGAAGGGTTTACAAGTGCCTTAGTCTCCTTGAATTCATGGTGCTCCTGGGTCCCGAGCGCTGTCGCCAGGACTGCAACATGGCAGCTATGACACTCCGAAACCTGACCGCCTTTCGCTATCATGACGGCGAACGTGAACAAGGCGCTGGTGTACGCCAGAAGGCGGAGGCTATACTCCACTTACTAGAAGACGAAGAAGCCTGGAAAAAAGCGAAGAAACAGGCCGTCCAGGACAGCCAAACATATTCCGGAGGCATCGAAAACCTCCCCTACTTCTCACCCATCAACCACTACAACTTGTACAACCGAGGGTCAAATCCTTTCTTCTCAGGACCCGAAGCTCTCCCTCCTCTTCAGATCAGACGTAATCATTCACTCTCACCTACCCTACAACCCGACCACCCGCCTCTCGTACAACCCGACCACCCGCCTCTCGTACAACCCCACTACCCGACCGCGCGACCGCGACGAAATGTGCTATGTTTTCAGAGTCTTGTTCAGATCCTCCGTTCGGCATGCCGCCTGCCACAGGTGGTGCCTTTGGAGGAGCTCCCCCTTTCGGAGGTACGTCCCCTTTTGGGGCAGCGCCTCCTTTCGGAGGGGCTGCAGGTTCCTTCGGGGGCGGTCCCGCACCGGGTGTGGCCCCATCTTCTCGTTTGTATGACCCGGACGATGACTTCCGCACGGCGAATCCGTTTTCGAGCATGTCCAAATTTCAGTCGGAGGCGGAAGCTGCCGACGCGTGGGGATTGTCGAAGCCGGCACCTTCTGCCGGTCCGGCGTCGTCTTCCGCTAGGCCCACTGGCGCCGGCTCGAAACCCGCGGGCAGCGAGCCGGCTAAGCCGACGCCCAGTTTGATCGACTTGGAACCCGGTTCCGTGCCAGGACCTTCGGCATCCCGGAACCCCATCGAGGACCTGTTAGGGGGCGCCAGCCCAGCCCTCCCCGCGCCGGCCGCTGGAGAACTCATCGACCTCTTCGGACCGCCCAGCCACTCGCCCATTCAGCCGAGCCAGGCCCCCTCTGTCCTGGCCTCCTCCTCGGCCACGCAGCCCAGGCCCTCGCCCTCGCCATCGCCCAACCTGCTTGACCTATAATCTGCTCGGCTGTAATCTGCCAGCATATAAAAGAGCAACCAAGGCCCTCCCTCGTGGCGTGCGTGATGCCCCAATGGGACCGTGACATGGATGCCCACAGCCCGGGTCTGGCTTGGGGCAGTAAAAATTTGTAACAATGAATCAGACGGAAACAGTCGCAGATTTGACCACCCCAAAAGCTTTGACCACCCCTCTGGCTCTGCCCCGAAGAGCTTCAATCGACCAGCCTGCACGCCGTCCACGTATGCCACTCACACCACCATCTCCCTACGGAGTCTGTGATCTTCCGCTAAATCTGCACCAATGGACAAACTTGATCTAGGGAATCGTATGGCGCTGCTTGAGGAGCGGCTTTGGGGCTTGAGTGAGTCCGGGAACCCACCAGAAGAAATCGTCAGGGGATGGATGACGCCGCAACAAGTCACGCCTACGCCACATAATGAACTAGCGACCCTAGAAAAAGTGTACAATGAGGTAAGCGGCCTACTTGCCGGTGATACGCCTTCGAATTTAGTTGAAGATGAAGAAGGCCCAGGTTGACGCCGAGTACGAACGAGCTGTGGCCGCCCACAGGGAGCAAGTGAAGCAGTTGAATCTGTTTCTAGGCCCGCAACCCTCTAAGAAAGTAGCGGAGCTGAAGTTGGGGGGACTGGAGGTGCTCCGAATTGAGTCGGACGTCCCCCCTGACGTAGCAGCCTCTTTGGTTTTCCGTTAGTTAGCCGAACCGTTGGCCGCTATGCACGAACCAACACACAAAAAAATGTTATTGGTAGTCACCTGTTGAGTGGTCGAGCCCATCGCAGTGGGTCGTCTCGGCAGCCGATCATCTGCACAGTCGATCTCCTATGCATCCTGTGCAGCGGTCCCCTTGTGCAGTGGGTCGTTCATTGTAAGTGATGGGGAACTGCAATATGGAAGTAAGCGATGGTTGTCGTGCCAGATTAGGGGTAGATGAGGTAGACTGCAGGTGCTGGAGGCTATGAACGTTGGGGATGGTATTGTTCCGGTTGACTGGGGGGGGTAGACTGGGGGGCGGTAGACTGAGGGGCAGTAGACTAAGGGGCTGTGAGGTAGACTTGGAGGGCCTCGTAGAGAGAGACGAGGCCGAAGACCGTGAAGAGGAAACCGCCGAAAAGGGTGGTGGTGCGTTCGGAGACGTAGCGGCAGATTAGGGAGGCGCAGCAGACGCCGGCTAGGTTGACGCAAAAGTGGCCAATGAGCACGCCGATGGTAACGCCCCAGACGTTTTCGGTGGCGGCAAGTGCGATGGTGGAGAACATGGAACGGTCGCCGAGTTCAGCAGCGAAGACGGCGCTGAAGGCCTTGAGCATGATGCGTCCATCTGCGCCCGTGTTGTGGATGAGCGTGGCGGCGTCGTTGAGGGTCTTGAGGCTCTGGGAGTAGGCTGAGAACCGGCGGCCGGTGAGAGGGTCTTGGAGTTCTTCTCGGGGACGGTAGGCAGTCTTGTCCAGGCCGTGGTGGTCAGGTGAACCATGTGAGCCGTGGTCGCTGCAGGGGTTGGCAGTTTCCAGGTCGGTGTAGACGTCGTCCGCGAGGGTCTCCAGCTTGAGCAGCGCGTCCTGGTTGTGCTGGACGTGCTCCAGGATCTGGCTCAGCCGCGATGTCTTGCGCTTGTCTGCGTCGAGCCCCGCAATAAAGTCGTCCAGGTTATCCATCTCTTGGTCGTCCTCCAACTCCTGCTCGTTCGGCACCGGCGGCTTCCTCAAACCTTCCCAGATCCCGAGCACACCAAAGACGAGCAACGCAGCGCCACCGATAATCAGGTCCCACCGGTACCTTCGGTAAGCAATTGACCGAGCCCGATTCGCGAACAATTCCGCCACTAGCACACAAGCCACCGTCTGCACCACCAAAGCCAAGTAGGCGCCACAAAAAACCTTCAGCTTGCTCCCCCGCGCGGCCAAAAGAGCACACACAAAGAAGGTCTTGTCGCCCGACTCCGTCACCATTGTTACCCCCGCCGCCGAGGCGATCGACGATAGAAACGACACCGGCATTAAAATGTTTGCCTGGTGGCTAATCTTAATTATCATCGGACTCAATGGCGTCGGTCTTGTTGCCACGCTGTGGTTCGTCTACCACTACTGCCACCCCGACGACCTCAAGTATAACCAAGGCATTCTAGCTCAAGTCGTCGTCATATTCGGATTTCAAATCGCGTATCTTTCTTTCTGCCTGGTCGCCACAGACGCCTATAATGAGCGCTTCGAAGGCCAGTTCAATATGTCCTACTGCTGGAAACTGGTGTATTTAATGATAGTTATATATCTCTCAATTGTCTTACCCTTGGCCGTATTCTACTACGAGTATGCCGACTTGTGTTCCTGCGGGCGTCCCTGCTCCCGTTTGCGTCCCGCAGCCGGACTTGCGTTGGCGCCGCCCTCCCCATTCACTCGGTGCATATTTGCGCCCTCCCCATTTATTCTGCACACACGTGTGCGAGCGCGCGAACATTAAGGGATATTGTTTGTTTGCGTAGGGCTGACAGCGATCCTCGTATTACCAAGACGTCGCCACTTGTTCAGACATTGAAGCGCGGAAGTATGTACATAGTGGCTGTTTGGGGCGTAATAGGTTTACTGTATTTGGCGTGCCGCAAGATGACTATCGGAGGAGAGCATTGCCTGGACGAGGGTTGTTCGGTGTCAGTGCCGACAAGTCAGACGGTGACGTTGGAGTTTCTGTCGTACCTGATAGGGCTTCCGGGTTTTATCGGGTGGTTTGTGTTCATGTTCACGGGTGGCATCGGGATTGCGTCGGTTCCGGTAGGGTTGTTTATGAAATGGTGGCATTTCCCGAAACCGCTACCTGTTCATGAGTACGAGAAGATGAAAAAGGTATTAGGGGAGCGCGCAACAGCGTTGCGGGAGGTTGGGGAAGGTTTGGCGGCGCACGAAATGCGGAAGAAGAATGGCCTGAGGAATCCAACTGCGCGGATGCGGTTCAGATCAAAGGTGAGCAAGTACAAGGAGATTGTTCAACTTTTGTCTGAAGAGTACGAGCGTTTGGAAAAGCGTGCCGGGGGAAAATTGAATCCAGTCAAGTACATGTTTTACTTCGTTTTGGCGATGTTTAGTTTCGTCCTGACAGTGATCCTCTGGTGCCAGGTAATCATGGCGTGTCTGTATCCCTCGGCGACCGGGAAGCCGCCGATAAACGGTATAAGTGTGGCGTTTACCAAGATGAGAGAATGGCGTGCATTCTTTCCAGAGTTTAGTTTGTACCTTTTGATATATGGTCACCAAGTGCTTTGTTCAGTGGTGGGCATGATTACGTTAAACGCCAAGATGAAGGGATGTCTACCCGTGGAACCGTTGCGGAAAAAATCCACCCACCTGAACGCAATGCTGTTTCACACAGCCATTATGCTCACTACGTGCTGTGCCATTGTTGTCTTGTCAGTGGAAACGCTTCCGTCATATGTGGAAGGTACTGAAGCAAACACGATCTTCTACATGGAGAAAAATTATGCTAAACTTTTCAAGACGTTCTATCGGAAGGCCGTGTTCCAATGGATTTGGTTCCTGCTCTCGTGCCTCTCGTTCATTTGGCTGAGTATCTGGCCCTCCACCAAGCCGCCAGTCAATCTTGAAGATCCCAAGGAAATGGCAAAATGGGCAAAATTGAACCAAAAACTGGGCATTGACGCCGAGGCGCCCGGTGGTGTGAAAGACCCAGGTGTCCCGGCGGAGGAGAGTCCCGGCTCCGCCGACAAAGGCGGACGGTTCAGCAAATTAAAAGACAAAATGCACCGGTTCGACAGAGGCGTCGAAGAAGCACCCCAAAAAATGCTCGGCGCAATGGTCAAGAAACCTTGGGAATAAATCCTTGGCAGCAAACCCTTTGGAGTAAATACTTGGGAGTAAACCACCCAGGCAAATCGACCCCTCAAACTTGATTGGGACCAAGCTTCCCCTTGGTTAGTAAACGCGGCTTACTCTTTAGCCCGCTGGGTCTTGTTATCAATGACGTTGTCTAGATGCTCAAGAAGTTTCTTGGTGTCTTCTTCGCCCAACACGTGTGTGAAGACGTCAGGGTAGCTCTGGATGGTATCTCGGGCAATGGTGTAGTCACACATTTCGTTATAAGGCGATTCACGTTCGTCGCACTCAAGGAAAATTGCCGGATCGTATTCATCACTGTCATCGTCAAGAAGTCCTTTCTTCCGTAGTTTGTCCAGCAATTCCTCCTCACCGGTTGCGTCTTGATTCTCACCTAGTTCTTGTTCTGAGTCTTCGTCCCAGTCAGATGATTCCTGTTCTAGGTCAGCTCGGCATTTTGCAATCTGCTCGCACTGGTAGGCAATGGTCTTAACGATCGTCTCGGCCTTGTTCTTAAACTCATCACCAAGTGTGTTCTGCTTCAACTCCTTCAACAGTGCGCAGGAGACCAGGATCTGTAACTTACGGGTACACACAGCGTTCACATACTGAGGGTTGTAGACCAACTCCAACACTTGAACCAGCTGGTTCTTGGATGAGAGGTAAGATACTGTCTGATGTAAATTGCCACCCATCATCGTCAAATAAATCTTCACGATCTGCTCAATTGTTCCCTTCGGCTGAGAGTCAAAACTATACTTGGCCAGGTAACCCTCCACAATACCCAAAATGCTCGTTATCACCTCCGGCGTCAAATCTCGTGTAAGTGCGTCAGTGAGGAAGTACAACATCATCAAACCTGATATGGGGTTCTTGGTGTCGTCTTCGCCGCTGGCCAGAGCCACTTCAATCATCTGTAGATACTCCTGCTTGTAGGCAATACCAGTGACCGGCGAAGACTCTGTCAGGAACTTCTGCAGACCTTTGACCACATAATTGTCCAGAGCCAAAATAAAGTCCGACAAATGCATCATGCCCCAAGACTCCTCGTCCACCACCAACGGCTTCGGACCACCACAGATACCCTGGTACATCACGTCATAGAAGATCCAATAGTTCTCGGGGATTATCTCGATGTCGTATGTGATCATGTTCAGGATCTTCACTGCGTCCTCTACAACCTCTTCCGAATCTGGGGTCATGGCAAGAACCAGATATGGCCGCATAATCGGGGCCAAAATTCCCATATTTTTCTTGCATTGCTCGTCTAAGACCAAGGTGGTACATAGAGAGGTAAGGGCCAACGAGACGCTTGCTCTAGTCATTTCAATTTGGTCTAGTTCCTCAGTCATTTCGGCTCCTTTCATTTTTTCGGTGATTTGAGCAAACATTCTTACGAGCTCTTCCACAATCGTGGGTGCTAATGCAAGCACATCTGCAGAGAAGGACTCGACCAGTATGGCTAGAGCCGATAGAGCGGTGTCAGCGATTTCCAGCTGACCAGTCATACTCAACAAATTCTGCACAATCTCCTTGATGTTCTGGGTAATGAACTCCCGTAGTGAGTCATTCTGGAATTCGATAAATACTGTCAACGCTCTCAAGGCCTCGGTCCGCACAGTGCAGTCAGCGTGGCGGCTGTTAATCAGGACCTGGCGAAGCAGGTCTACGAGCCCTGAGGGGTTCTTGATCTCGAGTTCCCATTTCTCGAACAAATTAGTGAGCAGGAAGCAAGCAGCCCCTCGAAGCCAGACGTCTTCACCGACTAGGTCGCCGGCGACGTGGGCGTAGATTAGGTCCTCCAGTTGCAACTGTCTCTTCTTGCAGGTCAGGCGTCTAGAAATTTCAGCGAGCATTCGATGTGCGCCATATTTACGTTTAGATGCTTCCGAGCCCACGCCCTTAACGGGGTTCGCAGCGTAGGCGGTGTACTCCTGCTGCACGAACTGGCTGCAGTACGGCAAGAAGTCCACACTTCGGAGACGATTCAGTGAAGCAAAGAAGCCGGCCGCACTCTCGGCGGGGTTGAAGGTACAAAAGGTCTCATCAGACTCCTTGGCGTAGGCCAACGGGTCCATGTCTCGGTCGTTCATGTTGTCATCTGTATAACATAGCAACGGATGAATGATAGCGGCAATCATATTCTCGATCTCGGGCTTTATGACCTTGTAGCAATTGGCACACTCAAGTGCGTAAGACAAAGTGTTCAGGATGATGCCTTCCAACTTGTCGTAAGCATCGTAACCTGCAGAACGCTGCTGATGGCATTCCATTAGCATCTTCATCAGCAACCGGATTACGTCCGCCGAAAATTGGGCGCGATAAGTCTCTGCTGCCGGCACGTCATTCTGCGAACTTGCAGACCTCGGCGTGCAGAAACTCATCGTCTCTTTCCGGAAGCACTGCACGGCCCACTTCTTAGCCTTCACACACAACTGCACCGTCGCAGCATCTGCACCACCCACAGGCACCCGCGTCGTCAACACCGCCGTGAGGAACCGCTGCCATACACCCAGACTCGTGCTGAACCACTCCGTCTTCTTGAGCAACGCTTGGACGCGGAAGTAAAACTTTGCAGCTTGCTTCACCACGTACGCCGCTGCTAGCGAGCTGTACAGCTCGTTCGGGCCCAGGGACTGCACCAATTCCAATATCAACTGGCCCAACTCAGCAGCACCGTTCACACACTCTGGCTTAATTTCCGTGCGATAGGCCGTACTGTACTTGTACCCAAGCTTAACACTAAAGCCCAAGGCCGCCACCACATTCTGGATGTTCCCGCGATCCCGTAACATACTCGTTACCGTCTCGTGACATCCGGGCCAGTCCTCCGTCAAAGAACCCCGGAGTAGGATGAAGCAAATTTGGTCCACCGTCTTCCTCAAAGCAACCTCGCTCAAAGGGATGGAAGCGCTCAAAGGCAAAATTGTATTCTTAATCATCTGGCGGTCAGCCTCGCCGTACACTTGGTGGCTATTGAAGTCATTCGGGTGCCAACGGTTCGAAATTTCATTCTTCAAGTAGACCAAAGCCGCGGTTCTGATGCCAGAGTCCACAGCTCCGTCACCGCTCACCGCCACCAAGGCCTGTAGGAAGCCTGGCTGCAGCTGGCAACTCTTTATGTACTCCTCACCGGAAGTGCGCTCTTCCTTGGAGTTGGCCAGAGACTTCACAAAGGCTGCAACATAACTCTCGCACAATCCCCACCCAGTGCAGCCGCCCATCCATCCAGAGTCAGGTCACCGGGCCCTCCGTCGACGCGGTACCGGCCACCACTGGGCCGCCCTCGTGGTCCCCCGTGGTCCCAGTGCCAGGCATCTGTTAAAACCATCACCGGCCCGCGGGGTCCAATGCGGTCCTGCCAGACATCTGGGCCAGGCGGCTGAGAGGCTCAGACACCGTGTGACAATGGTCGGGTGCTAGTCTTACCCTGTACTAGACACTGGACATCCGGAACCGACATTTGAGGGGGTTTCGCCGGGGGAAAAAATTATCAGTCGATGGTTAGTTCTTTCTCTCTGGGGGGGAGGACGTAGGCGTCGGGCATTTTGCCAGATGTGTCTTTGAGTGTGTGGAGAAGTTGTTCTGCTTGTACGCGTGCGTCTGAATCGACAAGAGAAATGGTTAGCTTGGGAACGACGTCGTGTTCCAGAATCCTAACTATCTTGGCGTACTGATTTTTGAATGTGTTGGTCATGGAGCCATGGGCAACTCCAACGACTGCATTGAGTATGTGGAGTGCGGAATGTGCGGCGAGTCCATGCGACATGTCATTCACGACAGCCGCTATATAGGACCACAACGACTTGTGGTCAGGGACACACACGAGTGTTGCCGTATAAAGTCTAAGCACGTGCTGGTTCGGGCCGGTATGGTCCGCGTCCCAAACCGGGATACAGCCCAGGGAACGGCTTCTGCAGTTGTACAGCCATAAAGGGTGCACGATTTCCTGCATACGACTTCTTAGCAAGAGTGCCACGAAATGCGAAAAGGACCATACTGTGTGAGCCTGGTGCGCCTGACTCTTATATGCGTCCAACAGGTTTCTTAACAGCTCGTTCACAAACGCAAAGGTGAAACTGTCGCACTCTCGTGGCAAGTCATCTGCCGGCAGTGCCGTCAATAATTTCTTCAGTCCCTCGCACTTGGGGTTTTCAACATCTAACTGCCGACCGCGCTGCATCACCGTCTGCACACTGTTCTCCAACGCCGTCTTCTGGTCCACCATCGACTGCATCGTACGCGCCAACTTTTTCGGCAACGACTCCGCGTCCTTGGCCACCTTCAACAAAACCTCCTCTACCTCCAAACAAGCCTTGTACTCGGCACTACTAACCACATAGTCCATACGCTTCACTCTCAAGACCTCTTCCTTATCCTCACTACTTAGACAAACTCCCCTCTCTCGACCTGTAACAGAACCGGGTGGCTGCGCTTCGGGTTTATGCAGCCCAGATTTAAGATCATCTGCACCACCCGCTCTCCCGACCTCTCCCGGAAAGCCGGCGAGGTCGGCTTTCCCGGTCTCGCCAGCCTTCCCGGCCTCGCCAATCTTGCCCGCATTGTCTGCCGGTTCGCCAGTCTTGTCTATTTCGCCAGTCTTCGACAGCCGGTTCTGCTCAATAACTGCCCGGACGGCCTGCTTCTTTTCAGCCTCTACCTTTTTCGTCTCTTCTGCCTCCTTGGCCTCTTGCTTTCTCGCTTCTTCACGCGCGGCTTCTGTCTTTCGCTTCTTCTCCGCCAATTCCTGAGCCAGTTTCTCTTCAGCTGTTTTAAGCTGAGTAATGAACGAATTGATGCGGCCCAGCAGCACGTGTTCGACCACGGGATAGTCTTCCTCGTACTCCAGATCCGGGCACGGCACGGTCTTTGCGAGCTCCAAGACTGGCGCTTCCCAACCTCCATCGATCCGCGCTGCCATACTACGACCGTTCACAGCGTGTCCCCATCGCCATCCATTGTGGACATCTTCTCGGAACAATCCCTTAGAGAAATTAGTCAGGATCGAATCCGGTATGCCCAGCGCCTTGCGCATAACTACTTAAAAAATAAAGACACGAATTCGCCACACGAATTCACCTGGGGTCCAAGACGGTGCAGCCAACACGACAGCAGCCGACGCCCAAGTGCCCCCAGCTGGGCACCTGGCCTGTCAAACGCCGCTCGACCCGGGTGTGTCGACACAACTATGTCAGCCGGCAGCTCGACTACCCTCGGCTAAGATGCATCAGACAGGTGTGAGACAACTTCAACGAAGACCGGAGCGGCGACCTGGAACGGGCTGTGCAACATTTTGGTCTAGTCCTGAGGAACCGCGTTCTGTGAGTCTTCCCAGAAGGCTCTTGTTCGGCTCCAACTGCCGCCTCGAAGTCAATTGGTCTGCAAAAGACTACGAGGCGCCTTGACTGTACTGTGGACCAGCCCCCTCTTTCTCGACCTCTTCCTGGCTCTCTTCTCCACTCTGTTCGTCGCTGTCTTCTTCGCTCTCCTCTCCGATTCGTCGAGTACCACTCCCGGGTGCCGTCTGCTCTTCGTCGTCACAACTGCCATCATCGCCGCTGTCTTCGTCCCCACTGCGTTGGTCCCCACTGCGTTGGTCCCCACGCCCTTGGTCCTCACGCCCTTCATCGGGAAGATAACGGTGTCGTCCGACGCGTTCGGGAAGAAGGCAGTCCGTAAGCAGGTTGTCGGTGCATACACTGTTGGTAAGCAGGCTGTTACTGAGGAAGGGTCTGCCGAGGAAGCTGCGGTCGGATAGCCAACTGCCGCCGATGAGGACGCAGCCGCCCAGGACGACTAGCAGAGAGGCCACGGTGGGAACGGCCAGTGCGTAGCGGAGATTTGTCTTGTGTGAGACGTAGCCTATGAGGAGTGGCGAGACGAGTAGCGACAGGCTGGACATGAGGCCCTGTAGCCCGAGTGCGTCATGGCCGATGCGTCTGGTTAGCGACTGTATGACGGGTGTGTTACTAGCCGAGCCCATGCCTGCCACGGCACATCCTGCAAGCACCAACCCCGTGTTGCCTGGAAACCGAGCCATTATCAAGTAACCAGACAGACTCACCAAGTTAGTCAGCACCAGCAACAGGCCCGGACCCAGCTTCTGTGCAAAGTACGACGTGCACTGCCGACTCGGAATCACCGCCAATACGTAAGCCCCGTACGCCAACGGACTCAAACCCAACATTGTAGTCCTCGGTACCTGACGCACCAAGTAACTAGTCGACCAGTCGTCCATGTAAGCTTCCGCCATCAAACAGAAGAAACCTAACAACGAAAATAGAACCAACTGCTTGTCCAGAAGCTCCACACTTGCATGGAACTGATGGTGTCGACTTTCCTTCTTCAATTTCAACCGCACTCGTGTGCTACTCTTCTTTCCACTACGCTTTGTACTCCACCGCTTTGTACTCCACCGCTTTGTACTCCACCGACTACCCAAAATTGACTTGATTCGGCGAATATTAATAGACACCAATGGATGCACAGGCGAACCCAAACGGGTTTCCACTCCAATCGCAACAAATTCTTCAAGTCCCTCCCTGGAAGTTCTCTCCATACTATGAGCTTTCTCCCAGGAAGTTCTCTCCCTGGGAGGTATGACATCGTACTGTCCCTTCATCCTTGTTCTCACGGTACGAAGCCCTTTCTTATCCCTATACAAAGTCCCACTGTGGACGTCGCCTAAGGAATACGGATCAGACAAACGGAAATCACTTCTCCGCGGAGGGGCGCTCGACATTCGTTCACCTGTTATTCGCTCGCTCGAAATCCGTTCCCCTGTTATTCGCTCACGAGTAACTCGTTCGCGGATAATTCGCTCCCCGGTAACTCGTTCTCGCGTAACTCGCTCGCGCGTGATACGGTCCTGCGTAGATGGTGCTCGCCGGTCACCGGATTCAGGTTTCCATGCTGCAGGTTTCCAGGCCGGAGAAGAGAGGGCTGAACTCGAGCGGTCGTGCGAAAATTTTTGTTTCCGAGAATGTCCACGAGACCGGCTCCTTACATCTGCCCTTTGTTCCGTATACCTTCGATCCCTCACCTTGCCATTTCGGGGCATCCCGCAATCATCCGTGAGCGACCGTAGATCGATGAATCCTTTAGATCCTCGCAAAGCGCCCTTCCGCTTATCTTGACTCTTGCAAATATCTTGCTGCACCCCTTTTCGATGTATGCCCTTGGTAAGCTCTTGATTCTGCGCAGTCGAATACGTCATCAAATACGGCCGAATGACACCCAGTCGTCCTCGTCCTCCACCAAAATCTTGTCCACGACCAAAATCTTGTCCACGACCAAAATCTTGTCCACGACCAAAATCTTGTCCACGACCAAAATCTTGTCCACGACCAAATTCTTGTCCACGACCAAATTCTTGTCCACGACCAAATTCTTGTCCACGACCAAATTCTTGTCCACGACCCATACTAGTCCTAACATCTCCGACATTCACCTGGCCACAGCTGGATCTAGCGAAAGAGCCCTCTTCTCCCCCCGGCAAGCCTTTCATAACGACGGCTCTTTTTTGATAGATAGATTCCGCACGTCCCGCACACTTGTTCTGCTGTCCCGACCCGGATGGGTGTTCCAGCAGGGGAGGGTCGGATGAAGAGGATTCCCGTCGTCTGTAGGAGGAAGTCTTGCGTTGTTTATGACTTGTTTTGCAAGCCTTTGCCTGACAAAGATCATGGCAATCGTGATTGATTTTTGTCTGACTGGTGAAGCGTTGACTGGTGAGTCGTTGACTGGTGAAGCGTTGACTGGTGTTGGGTATGTAGTCTTTGGCCATGTGGGCTGAGGCGTAAGCGGAGGCAATGGGGAAGTAGCAAGGTGTTTCGACGCAAGTGGATTCCTGTCCGGGAATTTCCTCTACTTCTTTCTTGATGTCCACGATCTGGCAACTGAGGAAAGTGATTGTTCCTACAATAGCAGTGGTGATTGGGTAGGCTTTCTGGTACGTGTATCCTAGGGCGTTAAGAAGGCATTCGGTGACGCATGCGAGGATAGCTCCTGCGGTCCAAATGAGGTGGACGACTGTGCAGTCCTTGTCGTGTGCGTCACTTGCAACCATATTGGTTCCGAGATCGCTGACTCCGAGGAAAATGCCGATGGAGAAGCATGGCAGATAGGGTCTGTAGCCACGGCGGGCGAGTGTGGGCAGACTCGTGACGACTATGATGCAGAGCAGAATGCACACGCTCGTTACACTTCGGAGACCTAATTTGTCGATCACTCGAACGCCAGGGAACATGGCACTGAAGCTGGCGACGCTCAAGAGAGTGAAACACAGGGCCAAGCCTCGGTCATCGATGCCAAACGCCTGCTGAAAATCGGGTATACACGCACACCAATTACCGTAATGAAAGGCAAACGTACAATAGAGCGTACTTAAGGCGAAGTTGTCATTCATTAGGGGAGGTAAAACTAATTGTATCAGGGCCCGAAAAACTTTCCAAGTCGTGGTAAACACTGCTGGGATTCGAACCAGTGCAACGACCGCCGTTGTACCGACCACCGGGCACATACATCGAGCTCTGATCGAGTGAGTTCATGATGTAATGACCTATGACGGTAATCACGGTGGTCAACAACGGAGGCAGCGCGAGCAGCACACAGGCCACCTGCAGCGTACAGATCTTGGCCAATGTACCGACCACCGGTGGAAGCATTACGAGGGCCGCAGACTCGAAAGATGCAAACCATGACGGCGGCGCGCGGTACCAGCCACGACGGTGAGCAAGCAATTCCATCTCGCTCACTCCAGCACAAGTTACCATCATGCTGGTCCAGGAAATTAATATAGAGTTGGGCGCCATGGTGAACGCCACGATGCCGAACGCTGTTAGTCCCACGCCAAGTGCTAGCTGGTCCTCCGACGGCAATTGGTGCCAAGGCGTATACGGCCGATTCCGGAGGAATCGCCGGAGGAATATAAATGACACCCGCGCTATAACCAGACACCCGGATGCCTCGGCCACAACGAGCTCCGGTCTTGTGCCGGGTTGCAGCCTTGGGGCCCACAGCAGAAAGGACAGAAGCATCGCACACGCTGCTGCTGCTAAGGAGCTAATCTTGAATCGCGGAGTCCCTCTTGCCTTGGTGTACGTCTCCCAGACCGACTTGCAAATCTGAATCGACCTGGATTGGATGGGCGGGAACTTGACGGCTCTGCGCTTAGGCGTGCCCGACTTGGGCGTGTCCGATTCCGTTGACTGCTCGTCGTCGTCACTCTGTTCAGTGGATGAGTTCGTCGAAGAGTCGCCGTCGGAGCCGCACCGCTGGCGGTCAGACAGATCCAGCCATAAGGAATGACGAGCTGAAGGAATCCACGGAGTTTGGTATCTTAGCCTGGCTATCACTGCCGCAGTGCCACCAGCGGCACTCGCCACTACTAAAAATACAATCTGGACGCCAAGTGGTAGGCGATAAAGAACGCTACCACAGGTCATCCCGACAGCGCATAACAGTAGACACAACTCCGACCTTTTCTGGTGACGTATTCGCTCAGAGTCCCTGACTAGCAAGCTCAATGCAGATCGACACGAACTGAACAGCATGCCCATGAGCAGAGAAAAGATGTGTGGCGTCACCGGATCGTCGTCGTTCAATATAAGCGTCGGCGGTCCCCACCACTTCTCACTGCTCCACCAACCTTCCAGCCAAGAAGGTATTGATAATCCACTTGTTCCGGGTGACGAGTCAACTGGCGAACTGGCTGTTTTTGATGCCGGGGAGCTAGGACCTCTTCCGGGCCGGAGCAGACCCAGTACTAGCCCTCCAGTAATGTCATTGATGAGTAGGAAAGATATGAGTACTAAACATGTGGGCAGCAACCATTTCTTGTGAGCCAACTCCGTCACATACTGGCTCAGGAACAAGCAGATGACTTGTCCGATTCCGAAACACATCAGGCTTGTTGCATACTCCACATCATTTACTTGATACCGGACAACAATGTGACAGAGTATGACACTCAAGAGGAAGCCGAATGTGAAGTATGCCACGCCGACTTCCATGCTTTTTCTGGGAGGCAAAAAAGATCTGTTTTTGCCCCATGATGATGATGTGCGCATACAAGAAACAGGGTTCACAAGACCACAGTCAAAAAGCCGTTCGGTGTCCATTCAACGATGGCAGTCTTCCAACAGCGACAATTCCGCTGGTTACACCACTCAGCCCAAAAGCCACTTTTTTATAAAATGAGTTCACAAGATGATTGGTGTATAAAGCTGGAAGCCCAACAAGCCATTCAACGCTTTGCCACCCTCACATGGAACATCAGCCACCTGAAAAGTCTACTGGCTCGGCATACCGTAACCAACCATTTTGGAGAACCCCACCACACTCACACAGTTTATCACACATCATTTCGCATTAGTCCGAGTTGGAAGCAATTGAGGACGCCCAAGGAGAGTTTGATTTGAAGGATTCGTGGGTCAGAATTGGAGAGTCCTTTGATCTCATAAATGCTGATACGGAAACCGGTGTCATGAACCAGTTTGAAAAGCGGTAAGCCAGGAATGTTCCTGTCTAGGAACAACTATGCAATCTCCAATTTTGTAGTCACGAGGAGCTTGAAGCTGAAATTGCTGTTTTAAAAACTCATATAGCAAAAGAAGAGGCCGAAGCAGACGTCACGAAAAAGACAATCGCCGCAACTCTGGGGGAACGCGTCCAGCTGAATATGTGACGCGTCCTCCGAAGAGCAACTGCGCCGCGTTATATCCGCGTCACTGTTCATTCCTCCGCCATGCCCTTGTCCTCCACAACGGACTGCTTCATCAACTTCTTCTCCAGCACTTGGATGCGTTTCTTGAGCTGCATCCTAGCTTCTCGCTGCGTGTGACAGCGTTTGCTCAGTTTGCTCCTGCGTCGCTTCAACTCTGTCAGCTCCTGCTTTATGCTCTTCTTTTCCGCGACCGCCGCACGACGCTCCGCCGTATTCCCCCCGCTACTCTCCTCCTGCCGACGTACTTCTGCACGGTACTGCTTCAGCTCTAACCTCTGCTGCTGCTTCTTGCTCAGCTTCTTTATCTCTTTCGCCGCTGCTTTCGCAAACGGGTCTTCAGAAGCGACTGACCCCTTTACCATTATTTACGTAAAAAAGTCTGGCTAGCCGGCTATACATCACGCACGTTCAGGGGCGAAGGGTCGAAAGGAGACGCGTCGGCTTCCACCCACTCACCCTGGGAAATAAATGAATAGTCCGGCTCCATCGCGTCCTCCACTGGCACTCCCGACCCGGACTTCCTTAACAGTGCGTACGCAGCACCTCCTACAACTCCAGCACCTGCAATGCCACCAACCACACCACCTATCACTTTACCTTTGTTATCATCGTCGCTCTTCGCCTCGGTGGCGGTTGTGTTCGGTATGATGGGCGTCGTTGTCGACGCTTCACTACTCGATTCCGTCGAGGTATCCTCTTCCTGGTGGGTGGTGTCCGTTCCTGGCTGAGTGGTAGGCACATCGGGGCCTGTCGTTTCGGACCCGGTGTGGTCGTGGCCCTTGGTAGTATTCTCGTGAGTAGTGTCGGTACCTTCAGTGCCAGTACCCGGCTGAGTGGTGGACATGTCCGTCGTTCCGGTGCCCGTGTTATCGTGGCCCTTGGTAGTATTCTCGTGAGTAGTGTCGGTACCTTCAGTGCCTGTACCGGGCT